AACAACACACACACACACACACACACAACAACACACACACAACACAACACACACAACACAACACACACAACACACACACAACAACAACACACAACAACAACACAACAACAACAACACACAACACAACAACAACACACACAGGTCTTAAAGCTGCACACAGGTTTAGACTTAAACTGACTCCTGTGAGATTTAATGTTCTCATGTTCTAATGTTGTGATGTTTTTGTGTTTCTGTGTTTTTTGTGTTTTCGTGTTTTTTTGTGTTTTTGTGTGTTTTGTGTTTTCGTGTTTTTTGTGTTTTTGTGTTTTTTGTGTTTCTGTGTTTTTGTGTTTTTCGTGTTTTTTTGTTTCTGTGTTTTTGTGTTTTCATGTTTCTGTATTTTTTGTGTTTCTGTGTTTTTGTGTTTTTTGTGTTTTTGTGTTTTTGTGTTTTTTGTGTTTTCATGTTTTTCATGTTTTTGTGTTTTCGTGTTTTTGTGTTTTTCGTGTTTTCATGTTTCTGTGTTTTTCATGTTTTCATGTTTCTGTGTTTTTCATGTTTTCGTGTTTCTGTGTTTTCATGTTTCTGTGTTTTTGTGTTTTCGTGTTTCAGAGTGTTTCTCTGGACCTCCTGAAGAGTCGCTCTCCACACAGCTCTGACATCGTGTTGGCGAATCGAAGAGCTGATGCATCATGGGAGACGTCTGTGTGCGACTCTGTGTCCTCCAGCTCCGGCTCCTCCTCCACCGTCTCCTGCAGAGACACCAGCTCTCCTGAAACGCACAAACACACACATATGAGACACACACATCTGATCATCTGAGCTGCTGTGGTCCCTCACACACACAGGTCTGTCACATGATCAGTTCATCAGTTTATTCATGGATCTACATTCTGGCTCCAGATTTACACAGTGAGCAGATTTTCAAAATAAAACACTGGGACGTCTCTGGTTTGTGGAGGTTGGTGAGAATAAAATAATGAAATGAGTGAAACATAATGAAGTAAAACTGTTGTGCACTGTGTTTTCTTTGTGTTTTGTCATTTTTAAGCAAATTTTCAGTATTTTACCCAAACAAATGTCAGTTTTTGTCTCTTTACTTTACTGTTTTACTCTGATTCATGAGCAGGTTTCACTTGGTGGAAACCGTGTGACGTGCAGCATTAGGATTCGTTCACTTGACAGTAGACGGGGACTTTTTTTATTGAACCAATCGCTGCTGTTTGGTCGTGACGTTTGTAATGCTCCCAATCCTATAGGAAGAAGAACAATAATGTTTTTCCCCGAGATCAAATTCAAACATTCTCTTTGTTCTGGTTTGAATCCTCGGGGATCTGGGGAACGTCTGTCTTCGTCTCCATCATCTCGACGCTTTGTTTACTGTTGTATTGTTCCACAAAAGGACGCAGACGCCACCACGACCACCTCATGACCTCACAGCTCACAGATGATTGGCCAAAGCGCCGTCTACTGTCTGGTGTTTTCTGATTCCTGATCTGGAGCCGGAGACAAATGAAAGTGAGGGAGGCACTAGGGGGCGCCAGACTGGACACTGCTGCAGGATCAGACTGGTCCAAAAACAGAGACACTGGGACATTTCTTGTATCAAACTGGGACAAATCAGTGGTTTTGTATAAATCTGTGGGACGGGGACACAGGATCAGGACGGGGACTGTCTCGGGGAAACAGGGACGACTGGACTCTAAGCCAGGTACAAAATAGGAAAAGGAATTTAATTATGGACAAAATAGTGAAATAAACCCCAGAATCATTAGAGTGAGAGAATATGAACATTTTAGTCTGTAAATGAGAATGAGGCTCACAGCAGCAGAGACAGAGACAAAGACAGAGACAGGGACAGAGACAGGGACAGGGACAGAGACAGGGACAGGACAGAGACAGGGACAGGGACAGAGACAGGGACAGGGACAGAGACAGACAGAGACAGGGACAGGGACAGAGACAGGGACAGGACAGGGACAGGACAGAGACAGGGACAGGGACAGGGACAGAGACAGGGACAGAGACAGAGACAGAGACAGGGACAGAGACAGGGACAGGGACAGAGACAGGGACAGAGACAGGGACAGGGACAGGACAGGGACAGGACAGGGACAGACAGGACAGGGACAGGACAGACAGGGACAGGGACAGGGACAGAGACAGGGACAGGGACAGAGACAGGGACAGAGACAGGGACAGAGACAGACAGACAGACAGGGACAGAGACAGGGACAGGGACAGGGACAGGGACAGACAGGGACAGAGACAGGGACAGAGACAGGGACAGGACAGGGACAGAGACAGGGACAGGACAGACAGACAGACAGGGACAGAGACAGAGACAGGGACAGGACAGAGGACAGAGACAGGGACAGAGACAGGGACAGGGACAGACAGACAGAGACAGACAGGGACAGGGACAGGGACAGACAGGGACAGGGAGAGACAGGGACAGAGACAGACAGAGACAGGGACAGAGACAGAGACAGAGAGACAGAGACAGGGACAGAGACAGGGACAGACAGACAGGACAGGGGACAGGGACAGGGACAGAGACAGGGACAGGGACAGAGACAGACAGGGACAGAGACAGGGACAGAGACAGGGACAGGGACAGAGACAGAGACAGGGACAGAGACAGAGGACAGAGAGACAGAGACAGTTTTTCAGTGTGAAGTGAACTGGAGCCAGGAGCGTGGCCGTGTTCACTTCCTGTTGGACGTGGTGGCGAGTGGGTCGGACGTGTCTGTGTGTGTGTGTGTGTGTGTGTGTGTGTGTAAGTGTGTGTGTGTGTGTGTGTGTGTAAGTGTGTGGGTGTGTGTGTGTGTCTGTGTGTGTAAGTGTGTGTGTGTGTGTGTCTGTGTGTGTAAGTGTGTGTGTGTGTGTAAGTGTGTGTGTGTGTGTGTGTGTGTGTGCGCGCAGGTGTGTGTGTGTGTGTGTGTGCGCAGGTGTGTGTGTGTGTGACACTGCACTGACCCAGGCCGGTGTTGAACTCCAGCGGGGTCAGGAAGCCGTTGCCGTGACGATCGAGACTCTCGAACACCGTCTCCAGCTGCTCCGGTGACAGAGGAACCTCACCCTCAAGTCTCTGCACAAAAACACCAAACATCAGACACGACGCACAACGGCAAAGTTTATTTTACTGATTTACTGCATGTCTCATTTGTCTGCTTGTGTGTTTGTCGTTCTAGGGACCTGCATGTCTCTCTTGTGTGTTTTTGTGTTGATGTGTGTTTGTGTGTCTGTGTGTCTGTATGGTTGTGTGTTTTGTCGTTCTGGGGACCTGCATGTGTCGTTTGGTGATGAATCCTTTAGCTTCTTTGTCACACAGTTCAAACAGTTCTTTAGTGTTCGTGTGTGTTTTTGTGTTGCTGTGTTTGTGCGTTTGTGTGTGTTTTGCCGTTGTGAGGACCTGTATGTCTCTCTTGGTGAAGACTTTTCCCTCCTTGTTTGTGTGTTTGTATGTTTGAATGTGTTTGTCGTTCTAGGGACCTGCATGTCTCTCTTGTGTGTTTTTGTGTTGATATGTGTCAGTGTGTTTGTATGTTTGTGTGTGTTTTGTCGTTCTAGGGACCTGCATGTCTCTTGTGTGTTTTTGTGTTGATATGTGTCTACGTGTTTGTGTGTTTTGTCGTTGTGAGGACCTGCATTTCTCTCTTGTGTGTTTTTGTGTTGATATGTGTCTACGTGTTTGTGTGTTTTGTTGTTGTGAGGACCTGCATGTCTCTCTTGTGTGTTTTTGTGTTGATATGTGTCTACGTGTTTGTGTGTTTTGTTGTTGTGAGGACATGCATGTCTCTCTTGTGTGTTTTTGTGTTGATATGTGTCTACGTGTTTGTGTGTTTTGTTGTTGTGAGGACATGCATGTCTCTCTTCTGTGTTTTTGTGTTGATATGTGTCTACGTGTTTGTGTATTTGTGTGTTTTGTCGTTGTGAGGACCTGCATGTCTCTTCTGTGTTTTTGTGTTGATATGTGTCTATGTGTTTGTGTATTTGTGTGTTTTGTCGTTGTGAGGACCTGCATGTCTCTCTTGGTGATGAATCCTTTCCCTTCTTTGTCGCACAGTTCAAACAGTTCTTTGGCTTTGCCCATGAGCGCCTCCTGTGGGCAGGAGGGTCCCTGCAGTTTTCCCGGGCTCCATCTACACCTGGGGCTGGCAGGAACGGGTTCAGCGCTGCCCTGCCCCACCAGCACCTGCCCGGAGTCCAGCACCTGCCCGGAGTCCAGCACCTGCCCAAAGTCCTGCACCTGCCCAGAGTCCAGCACCTGCCCAGACTCCAGCACCTGCCCAGACTCCAGCACCTGCCCAGAGTCCTGCACCTGCCCAGAGTCCTGCACCTGCCCAGAGTCCTGCACCTGCCCAGAGTCCTGCACCTGCCCAGGGTCCTGCACCTGCCCGCTGTCCGGCCAAAGGGACATTTCACTGCAGCAGAAGATCGATCTGTGAGGAGAGAAGAGGGTTCACACTGGAGCTCAAAAAACACAAACACACAAACACACAAACACACAAAAAACAAAAACATAAAAACACAAAAACACAAAAACATAAAAACATAAAAACACAAAAACACAAAAACACACAAAAACATAAAAACACAAAAAACACAAAACACAAAAACATAAAAACATAAAAACACAAAAACAAAAACATAAAAACACAAAAAACACAAAAACACAAAAACATAAAAACACAAAAACATAAAAACACAAAAACATAAAAAACATAAAAAACAAAAACATAAAAACACAAAAACACAAAAACACAAAAACATAAAAACAAAAACACAAACACAAAACATAAAAACACAAAACACAAAAACACAAAAACATAAAAACACAAAAACAAAACATAAAAAAACAAAAACAAAAAACACAAAAACATAAAAACACAAAAACATAAAAACACAAAAACAAAAACTAAGTCTATTGTTTGTGCTGCTTTAGTTTTGGAGATATTATCGATTCTTTTATTGGTCAAATTGGGGCAAACAGCCCCAGGAAGCTTCAAAATGAAATAAAATAAAAATAAAATAATGGAGTCAGTCGTTTCTGTTTGGTTTGTGTTGTAAAGTTTGTGCTTGTGTGATTCTGGTTCTTTAAATCGGAACAGTTTTATTTTAGGCTGATGATTCAAAATGAGAAACAGCAGAAATTTAAACCAATCGTTTGTGTTGTTTTGTGTTGTTTTGTGTGTGTCTGTTTCATTTGTGTGAGTTTATTTCTGAAATGATTCATGATTATTTTTGTGTAAATGATATTTTGGTCATTTCTGTTTCACTGACGCTGAAGAGGAGAGAAGAAGAGAAACGAGCTGAGGCTGTGGAAAAGTCTGTGTTTGCAGTAAATTTGTTTTGATTCAGATTTTATAACCCAGACTTTTACCGCACACAAACCTCACACAAATCTAAACTGTCAGATAAACGGAACTCTGTGGAACGCTCTCCTCTGTCCTCTTTTTGTTTCTCTCCCTCCCTCTGGCTCTTCTCTCTCTTTCTCTCTCTTCGTCTGTCGGGGCTTAAAGTTTTTTTACTGTTTGTTTTTCCTCCTTTGTCAAACATGATCTGTGAACGTCCAGCTGATCTACAGCTGTGCCCAGAGCTCACACCGCCCGGGAATTTAACCAACAACCAACAACAACCAGCAACAAACAGCAGCAGGACACTGTGGTCCACAACACCTGATATTAACTGTTTATTACACTGTTACTTATTACTCTATTACTTATTAAACTATTACCTAAGGTCCTGGATCAGCACAAACTGACTCCTGTGAACTTCAAGTCATGTTCTGATGTTCTGATGTTCTGAAGTTCTGATGTTCTGATGTTCTGATGTTCTGATGTTCTGATGTTCTGAATGTTCTGATGTTCTGATGTTCTAATGTTCTGATGTTCTGATGTTCTGATGTTCTGATGTTCTGAATGTTCTGATGTTCTGATGTTCTGATGTTCTAATGTTCTGATGTTCTGATGTTCTGATGTTCTGATGTTCTAATGTTCTGATGTTCTAATGTTCTGATGTTCTGATGTTCTAATGTTCTGATGTTCTAATGTTCCTGGTCACACTCAGAGCTGGAGTTGTGTTTGTTTGTGTGACTCTTTATTATTCGTCTGTCTCCATCCAAACCTCCAGACGCTCTGTTCCACCTTGTGATGTCATGAAGTTCTCAGCTCCTTTCACCTTTAGTTCAGTCGAGTTCGGCGACTCCACGACTGAAATGATCCAGGTGATTCTAGTGAAGGTGTGCGGAGTTTAAAATCACAGTGGAGCACTTCCTGTATCACCACATGATGACATCACAAGGTGGAACAGGGTGTTTTCAGTTTGAGAAAAGAGCTTGTGATAAATGTGCAGGTTTGTGTGAAACTTGAATGAAACAAAACAAAACAAAAAATGCAAAACAAAACACAAAACACACAACTGGAGTGTGTGTTTGTGATGAGGAAACTCATTATTACAACAAAGGTCAGAGGACAGAGTCACACGGGCAGTTTGTGTGTGTAGAGGATTTATGTGTGTACAGTTGTGTGTCCGTGTGTGTACAGTTGTGTGTGTAGAGGCCTTGTGTGTGTACTGTTGTGTGTATAGTTGTGTGTACAGTGGTGTGTGGAGGATTAGTGCAGTGTTAACAGGATGTGAGCAGGATGGAGTCATGTGAGGCTCTCTGCTCCATAAACCCGACCCGGAGACGAGATGCAAAACCGACATTTGCAAAAGTTTTACATGTGAAGCAGCAGCTCCCAGTTTAATGAAACTCAGTCTAGAACAAATCTGTCGTCACAAACAAAAGAGAATCACTGTGAAAATCCCTCAGGTTCAATTAAAAAATGCAGAATTGCACAAAAGTTTGGCCAAAATGTAAAATCTAAAAACTTAAATCTGATTTAAAAGTAGAAAAATGATGTGTCCAGCAGAAGATCATTTTACTGGACAAGTTCTTTTCAAATAATCGACTCTAGACGAGACTGAAGCGTCTGAGGTCAGAGGTCATGGCTGGAAATGAGTTTATGGAGGAAAACTTAGAAATAAACAAACTTAAAAACAGTTTAGGATGAATGTTCACGGCCTGATCATAAACTTTCAGATGCCAAATTCTAGATACAAATGTTTGAAATCAGAGTGAGAAGATCATAAATCTGAACACAACATGAAAAACCTGATATAAAGTTAAAATTTTGGCCAGACTGAAGAAATTTGCAGAGACGAGTCCAAATCCAACAGATGCTGAATGAAATGTCGGTGTTTTGAAAATGTTTCTTCATCATAAAGAACAAACTGGTTCAAACTAAACTCTTGATGATCATTTGTGTTTTTTGTTTTTCTGTGTTTCCTCCTTCGCAGGTGAATGTTGCTCTTGTTTGGTTCTTGGCACTTGGGACGTGTTTTTCTTGAATAATTCCAGATCTTTTCCTGTGTGAACTTTCTACACAATAATAATAATAAAAACATTTTTCAGAAGTTGAAACTTTATAAAAGTGCAGTTGGATTGTGAAAGTTCTGAGGAGATAAAGAGTCAACAGACTCATCAGATTTAAACTCACACAACTTCTGATTCTCCAAAACCACAAGAGCAAAGATCAAATCATCATAAAACACACGCACGCGCTTCTGTCACGCAGCTCCGGGTCACGCGCGGAAAAAACCCGTGAACTTAGAACCACGAAGATAAAAGTGAAAACAACAACGACACGAGTCAAACTAAACTTCACTTTTCACTTTTCATGAACCGAGAGCCGCGGCTCAAAGAGCCACACAAGTGGAAGTTTCCTGAAGCGCAGAGCCGCAGAAAAACAGAAGCGAATTTGTCTTTTTCAAGTTAAACTCAAATAAAAAACAAAAGCGGAAAAGAAAGTCTCGGTTTCAGTTTAGAGTTTAGAGTTTAGTTTTAGTGAAATAAACGCGCGTGTCAGAGACTCACCTCCGCGGTCCTGCGCTGACAGGTGTTCTGACAGGTGCTGTGACAGGTGCCTCTGACAGGTGCCTCTGCCCCTGCTGTTCCACACCCGGCCACAGGGGGGCAGCACGCACGGGCGGCACGCGCGGCCGCAGCGGGAGCGCGCAGCCGAGTTTACCGTAATGTTCAGTGTAAAGCAGCAGAAACAGCTCAGGAGTCGGAAAAAATAATAATAAAATAAAATAAAATTACTAATATTAATACTACTACTAATAATAATAATCTCCGAAATATTTGAAATGAGTAAACAGAATAATGATCTGTGTTTGTTCCCGGTGGATATATTAATATAAGTGACATATTAATATAAGTGTCTCCGTCAGGTGACGGTGCGTTCGTTCTTGGACATTCATGGACATAAACAGTTTAATTCTGCAGTGAATTTTCCTTTATGTCATTTTGAGAAGAAAAGTCCTGACAGATACAGACATTATATGTCCATCTAAACCTTTTATTTAAATTTAAATCTTTTTTTTTTTTTTTTTTTTGGCCCTGGTTTTACGTAATTGTCTGTCTGTTAAAAGAATCCTCAAAGGAGCTCTGTAACTTTTATCATATTTAATCATAAAACCTCAGAGGTTTACGGTAAACTTTTACAGTCGTATTTACGGTAAAAGTTCGTTGCCATGGAGCTCCGGAAATACACGAACACGCGCCCTGAACGAGCCGCTTTGTTTTTCACTTTTGATCATCGGAAAATCTGAAAATACTTCTACAGATTCTGAGTTTAAGATTCGAGGAGAAAAACGGAACATTTCGTGTTTTTGACTTTTCCGTGTGCGTGTGCGTGATGTGCGCAGATTACGACAACAGAAGAAGAAGAAGAGTTTGTGCAGCGCAGATTACGCACTTAATCCAAACTGTGTTTTTATTCGTCCAGGAGTTTGAGAGAAGCACAATCCAAAGATTAACCTGATCTGTGTTTGTGAGTTTGGACTCTTCGTCCTCACGAGTCTGAGCCGAGACTGAACACTCCAGAGTCTGAGGTCTACAGGGTTTGGGTTCTTCAGGGTTCCGGTTCTGGAGGTTCTGGAGGTTGTGGAGGTTGTGGAGGTTGTGGAGGTGGAGCAGTGAGGATCTAAACATGAGCAGAGTGCTGTGGAGCAGGAGTCTGGTTGTGTTGGACTTTGTGTTGTGAAGATGCTGCAGACTGGAAACTTCTCCCTGGTGCTGCTGGTGCAGCTTTGCCTTTTGTCGTACGATCTGTTTGTGAACTCGTTCAGTGAACTTCTGAGAACAGCTCCGGTCGTGCAGCTCGTGCTCTTCATGTAAGAAACATTTATTCTGTGTATTTTTGTGGAAGATGAAGCAGAGTCTTCAGTCTTCAGTTTGTTCTATCGTCTCTTCTGTTGCAGAATCCAGGACATCTCCATCCTCTTCAACATGATCGTGATTCTTCTGATGATGTTCAACACTTACGTGTTCCAGGTGGGGCTGGTGTCTCTGCTCGTCGAGCGTTTCAGAGCTCTGCTCGTGTTTGCGTCGCTCTATCTGACCCTGAGCATCTGCCTGCACTGCTGGATCCTGGTGAGTCGCACCACAACACAAACTGTATAAAGACGAGATATACATATATATATATATATATATATATATATATATATATATATACACACACACACACACACTCAGAATACAAACTGTACATAGAATATCTCTCCTCTCAGTCACACACTGCACAGTGTCGTTATACAGTCTATTCTCTCACTCACAGTACAAACTATATAAAGTCTATATATACATCATATATATACTCATTCAGAACACAAACTCTCTGTCCTGTCACTCTCACACTGTACAGTTTCTATATAAAGTCGACTCTTGTTGTTTGTGTGTTTATGTCTGTAGATTTAGACTCTCAGACTGTACAGTGTGTTTTTGTCGGTGGTTTTCAGATTCTGAAGTGTGTTTGTGTCAAACTCAGACGAGACGAGAGACAAATTTCTCTGTTAGTCACTTTGTATTTTACCATGAAATATCCAAAAGGTAAATTCACCTAATATTTTCAATTATGAGTCCCTGCTTAGACTGCTGCCTCCGCGACCCGGCTCCGGTTAAGCGGAAGAAAATGGAATGGAATGGAATTTTCAATTATTAACTAAACCTCCAAACTCTCTAGATTAAAACAGAATTTTGGATTTTAACAATTTAAATTTTAGCTGCTCACATCTGTGTTTATTAATATCATCACCTGAAACCAACAACAACAGAAACAAACACAGAAACAGACACAGAGAGAAACTACAGTGTCACTCACTCTGTACGTCTGTATATAATCTATACTCACAGACTGTATGTCTGTATATAATCTATACTCACTCTCTGTACGTCTGTATATAATCTATACTCACTCTGTATGTCTGTATATAATCTATACTCACAGACTGTACGTCTGTATATAATCTATACTCACAGACTGTATGTCTGTATATAATCTATACTCACTCTCTGTACGTCTGTATATAATCTATACTCACTCTCTGTACGTCTGTATATAATCTATACTCACTCTCTGTACGTCTGTATATAATCTATACTCACTCTCTGTACGTCTGTATATAATCTATACTCACTCTCTGTACGTCTGTATATAATCTATACTCACAGACTGTATGTCTGTATATAATCTATACTCACAGACTCTGTACGTCTGTATATAATCTATACTCACAGACTGTATGTCTGTATATAATCTATACTCACTCACTCTGTACGTCTGTATATAATCTATACTCACAGACTGTACGTCTGTATATAATCTATACTCACTCTCTGTACGTCTGTATATAATCTATACTCACTCTCTGTACGTCTGTATATAATCTATACTCACTCTGTATGTCTGTATATAATCTATACTCACAGACTGTACGTCTGTATATAATCTATACTCACTCTCTGTACGTCTGTATATAATCTATACTCACTCTCTGTACGTCTGTATATAATCTATACTCACTCTGTATGTCTGTATATAATCTATACTCACTCTCTGTACGTCTGTATATAATCTATACTCACTCTGTACGTCTGTATATAATCTATACTCACAGACTGTACGTCTGTATATAATCTATACTCACAGACTGTACGTCTGTATATAATCTATACTCACTCTGTACGTCTGTATATAATCTATACTCACTCTCTGTACGTCTGTATATAATCTATACTCACTCTCTGTACGTCTGTATATAATCTATACTCACAGACTGTATACGTCTGTATATAATCTATACTCACAGACTGTACTGTATACGTCTGTATATAATCTATACTCACAGACTGTACGTCTGTATATAATCTATACTCACAGACTGTACGTCTGTATATAATCTATACTCACAGACTGTACGTCTGTATATAATCTATACTCACTCTGTATGTCTGTATATAATCTATACTCACTCTCTGTACGTCTGTATATAATCTATACTCACAGACTGTACGTCTGTATATAATCTATACTCACAGACTGTACTGTATACGTCTGTATATAATCTATACTCACAGACTGTACGTCTGTATATAATCTATACTCACAGACTGTACGTCTGTATATAATCTATACTCACAGACTGTACTGTATACGTCTGTATATAATCTATACTCACAGACTGTACGTCTGTATATAATCTATACTCACTCTCTGTACGTCTGTATATAATCTATACTCACTCTGTATGTCTGTATATAATCTATACTCACTCTCTGTACGTCTGTATATAATCTATACTCACAGACTGTATACGTCTGTATATAATCTATACTCACAGACTGTACGTCTGTATATAATCTATACTCACAGACTGTACGTCTGTATATAATCTATACTCACAGACTGTACTGTATACGTCTGTATATAATCTATACTCACAGACTGTACGTCTGTATATAATCTATACTCACAGACTGTATACGTCTGTATATAATCTATACTCACAGACTGTATACGTCTGTATATAATCTATACTCACAGACTGTACGTCTGTATATAATCTATACTCACAGACTGTACTGTATACGTCTGTATACATGTGTTCAGTGTATTTGTATCTTTACAGCGTCTTTACTCTCAGTTCAGTTTACATCTGTTCACAGTTTATAGTTTCACTCAAATCTGTTTGGATTCTTCTTCTTCTTCTCGTGTTTCTGGTCAGAACCTGCGCTGGGTGGAGTCTGATGTGTTTGTTTGGACGGACGGTCTTCAGGCTCTGTTTGTGTTCCAGAGGACAGGTGAGGCCCTGTCAGTCCCTGTCAGTCCCTGCCCATTTGAAACATTTATATAATTCATATTAATTGTTTGTGTTTGTGTTTGTTCCAGTGGCCGTGTTTTATTATTATCTGTACAAACGCACGTCAGAGTTTATGGGCGACCCGCGGCTCTACGAGGACTCGCAGTGGCTCCGTGACGCTTTTTCCAAAGCGCGAGAATGAATAAAGAGATTTAAGGACAATTTCTCAGAACCTGTGACTCTGAGTTTGGAGCAGCGGCTCTAATCAAAGTCTGAGTCACTCACCAAAACAAGTGACTGTCCAGAGTCTCCAGAGTCTCGGCTGAATCTGATTCTGCTGTTTTTATCCTTAAATGTCACATTTTGTCACTTGTCACACACAGTGTGTGTATCTGTGTGTATGTGTGTGTGTTTCTTTGCCTTATTGTCTCTTGTGATCACATTCTTCTGTTTTGGTGCCTCTGTTTTTATAATTAAACAATGGCCTCAGCGTTGTTTGTGCGTGTATGTGTGTGTGTGTGTGCATGTGTGCGTGTGTGTGTATAATCCGTGTCCAAACTCCACGTGCGTCAGATTTAACCTGCAGACGCTGAGACGTCTGCTCTAAATGTGACGGTCAGATTAATGGAGGATTGGGGAGTTAAGGGACGTTTACAGAGACAAAAATAGATTTTTGAAGACCTCACTCTGCCAAATCCTCACAGCCGGAGAATTAAGACTTTTAATGTCACTGTTTATTTATAAAGGCACAATAAAGGTTAAGTCAGTTTTGTGTTTTAATCATTTTCTTAAATCTGAGCGTCTCATTCAGAGCAGCAAAGACAAAATACTGGAAATAAAAAGAAGCAGAACATGAGCCCAGATTCAAACATTTCTATTTTCTACAAAAAAAAAGAAATGAGCCACAAACACAAATTTATTACAAATTTTTTAATTTCCTTAGGAAAAAAAATCAGTCCGTATGATCCCAAAACAGAGTCAGTGCCGTCGCTTCAATAGATCCATGTTCTGTGACGTTCTGTGACGTTCTCACCGCTGGAATGTTGTCTTCAGGAAAAATAAAACTGCAAGAAAAAACAGGCACAAAATATTTTCAATAGGAACATTACAGGCCACAAGGGGGCGCCATCCAAGAACTTTAGTCATTTTGGTCTTAACAGGAAATGAAGAGAAGCTCCTAAAAACAACTACGACACAGAGACTCGTGGAGTTTGTTTTAAATACGTCTTTGACTTTTACTCTGCAACGATTCAGTTTCACATAAACACAAGAAGAAAAACTGCAGATTCTTGGGAACAGAACATGAACATTTATCAGGACTCTGGGATTATGGGAATGATAACGAGGCACAATTATTTTATTGCTCTAAAATAAGTGAAGAAACGTCTGGGACTTTTCAGTAAAACAGCACAAGACTCGTCTGGACTCATTTGTTTCACGTGTCCTTATATGTGTATAAAACCAGGACTAAACCAGGACTAAACCAGGACCATGTGTGTACACTAGTGTCTGTGCTCTTACACTTGTTCTGATGCAGCCCCAGGTCGTTCTAAACACATTTAGGAAAGGCTGGAAAGGTTCTAAAGGTTCTGAAGGTTCTGAAGGTTCTGCTCAGTCAGTGGGACTGTGACCGGTTCACACGAGGATCTGGTTTGGACACTGGTTCTGGTCTTGATCAGGATGTGATTTTCGATCCTCTCGTGTGGAGTTTTACCTTCATACGTAGATGCCGACCCAGAGAAGCAGAAACAAAACGCCGAAGCCCATGAAGAGCGACGCCACCAGAGAGATGAGCAGCTCCTTGTACACGTCCCTCGTGTACTTCGTGGACGTCACTTCATAACTGAGCTCCAGTTCAGGAACAAAACTCAACCACAAGTGTTTTAGATTCTACAAAATGAAAACGTGTTTTCTGAAGAGAGTCAGGAGCTTTTTCATTTACAAACATCATGAACAAACACTGAACCCTGAACCCTGAGGAGCAGATTTATCCTGAAGACACATGAATGAAAAACAGGGAGAACGATGAAAGACGATGAAATCTTTAAGAGATTAAAGATTCTTCAAACATCAATCAGTCCAAATAAACTTCAGACTTTCAGAGAGAAGAAACGACGAGAACATGGAGAAAAACTCTGGAAATCCAATTTGCAGAAACCTCTGATTTACCGTAAGTTTTTTAAATCTTTTATTCTTCCATTCTTTTCCAACCAGATTTTATGACTTTACTGAAGCTCGGGTCTTTAGGCCGTTATTTGTATTTGTTATTTTGGTATTTATCCTTAAAAGTCTTTTAATCTGTCTTTATGTATATTTATGTATGTGTATATATATAAATAGTTTTTGCATGAGCTCCCCCTGCAGGTGGAGTCTTGTCACTGCAGTTTGAGTGGTATTAGAATTGTCAATGATGCAGTTTACTAAACCCCGACAAATGTTCTTTTAATTAAATTAAATTCACGATCTTGTTGAGGTCAGAACTGCATTTGTGATGTTTAATAATAATAATAATAATAATCATCAGGTCCCTCACAGAGTCCAGGAGATGTTCAAACCCAGAGAGAGTGAGAACATCTGAGAGGATCGAGTCTTTTTCATAAATTTGACGTGAGGAGCAGGAGCAGCTCGACGTGTCCGTGTGTCTCCAACAGACGTGTTCATCTGTGCAACCGTCTGGACCAAACTTTAAAACACTCTACAACAATTTTTACACATTTAAATATATATTTAAATAAATTAAAAAAAATATATATATATATACACACACACACACACACAAGACCAGAATTATAGAGAAATACAATAAATGATGTTTCTTACTTTATGAAACTGACAGATGAACTAAAACCACCAAATACACAAAGTGTCTGTGTGTTTATATAACAATATGTGTGAATATTAATGTGTGTGTGTCTCTGTTGTTGTGCGTCTGTTGTGCGTCTGTTGTGCGTCTGTTGTGCGTCTGTTGTGCGTCTGTTGTGCGTCTGTTGTGCGTCTGTTGTGCGTCTGTTGTGCGTCTGTGCTGCACGTTTTGTGTTTCGTTGAAGGATACACGAAGAACCACGCGGTGAAGAACATGCCGATGGCGAGCAGGACCACGGTGAGATGTGGGAACACGGCCGGGTTCACCGGGCTCGTGTAACGGGTCATGGCCTCGAGCTCCTGCACACACAGAAACAAAAAACATGAAACACCAGAGAAACACCAGAGAAACACCAGAGAAACACCAGAGAAACACCAGAGAAACACCAGAGAACACCAGAGAAACATGAGATTTCAGCACAACAAAGAACAACAACGAGACATTTCACCACAAACAAAACACTGTTAACAGAAACTCTACAGAAAACATGACACAAACTGGATTATTTCCACAGTATTTTGTTTCAAGGTCCCACATAACACACAAAACCGACAATCACTGACAAAACTGTGTGTTAAACCAGGACTGAACCAGGACTTTCTAACTGTGTTTTCATGGTTGAGGTTTGATGGATAATTTGACGTCTGTGGTTTATTTGATCGTGTTAATAAAAAAAAAAAAGGAGGGAATCTGAGCATTTAGTTTTATATTATTTATTTTTTTTTTTTTACAGAGTATTAAAATCTCATTTTGTAATGTTTGATTTGTCTGTGAATCTGTGATCCCCGTCCTTTCCCTGTGTCCCCTGTCCCCGACATTTATACAAAACCACTGATTTGTCCCAGTTTATACAAGAAATGTCCCAGTGTCTCTATTTTTGTCCAATCTGATCTAAACCAGGTCTAAACCAGGTCTAAACCAGGACTAAACCAGGACTAAAACCAGGACTGAAACTGGACTATCACAATTCATGAACAATCTGATCCTGCAACAGTAAAGAGAAGCAGAAATTGTCATTAGTTTTGCCAAAAAACAGAAAAATGTGTTTGTGAATGAAAAAAAAGAAAAAAAAAAAAAAAGTCTCTCAGATTCAAACACGAAAATGCACAAAGTTCCATCCTCTTTTATTATTTTATTAATATTAAACATCTAAACCCGGAGTGCTTCAGTTTAGACTTTTATAAATCTGTTCATTCTGAGCTTTTATTTTCGTGTTTCAGATTTTTTTTCTCTGAATTTAACGCAACATTTTTGCTTTGCTCCATTAAACTGCGTTTTAATAAATATTCACTTATTAATAAAAAAAAGGAAACGACAGACGAAGAAAAACAATGATTATGAAGGAAGAACCTGGTAGATTTACAGTTTAAAATGAAAAATAAAAGAATAAATGAATAAAAAGATGAAAGAGAATCCCGCAGGTTCACGCGCCGCAATTTAACACGAATCTGACAAAAACTGCAAATAAAACGCAACATCCCGGAACTTTACACGCAAATGAAGATATTTACACCAATACAAACACGTGCAGACCGTAAAAACGCATCTGAACAGAATAAAAAGTGAAATCTCACCATTTTGCGGCGGGTTCGGTTCGTAAAGGCGAAGCTGAAAAGGCCACGTACTGACTAACACTTCCGGGTTCCGCAGTGACGCCATCACGTACAGCGTCTCTTTTACGTTTTTATTGTTTATTTTTTTATTTTATTTATTTGCGTTTCGTAGGCTATGAATGTCTTTTTATCATTTTTATCAACGTTTTTATTTGTGGTAAAAAAAACAAAAAAAAAAGTTTTGTAGGGGATAAATATCTTTTTTTTTTTATTGTACATTTTCAGTCACAAACAAATACTTTATAACACTATGGCACTTTATAAAAGTAAACATTTCATATGAAAATAAAATAAATGCATAATAAACACAACAGTGAATAAAAACATATTTACATATAAATATATAAAAGGGTCAAAGCTGTAACTTAAAGGAATAAATAAAAATAATGTTAAAAGGACAAAAGAAAACCAGCCTCTTTTACATCCTGTTTGTTTTTCCTTGTTTTCTTCTTAAATTTGTTCTGTCATTCTGCGTAACATTTTTTATGTTTTCTATCAAAATGATGAGCTCTAACTGATCAAGAGAATAAAAGTTGTTTGTGACGTAATAATAACGTGTTTATTTTAATAATGAGGCTCATTATGTCGAGGACCAGATTTTCAAAATAAAACTCTGGGACGTTTCTGGTTTGTGGACGTAAAAATAAAATAATGAAACGAGTGAAACTTTTTTACTTATGACTTAATGAAGTAAAAGTGTTTTGCACTCGGCTCTAACGTGACTCACTTTAGTGTTGTTTGTTTTTTGTCTTTTATTTGACGTTAATTCTCTTTTTCCAGTTCGTCGTTTGAACCACACGCGGAATTTTCCAGAAGCATCAATAATTAAAAAGTTTCACTGAAACGAGAACGAAGAGACAAAGAACAGATCAGATCACACCAGACAGGGACGCACCTGTCCTACAGGGACGCACCTGTCCTACAGGGACGCACACACATACACACTCACACACACACACACACACACACACACACACACACACACACACACACACACACACACACATCACACTCACACACACACACACACACACACACACACACACACACACACACACACACACACACACACACACACACACACACACACACACACACACACACACACACACACACACACACACACACTTGTCGTGCTCGTTGTGCTGGTGCCTGTGCACACACACACACACACACACACACACACACACACACACACACACACACACACACACACACACGCTGGTGCACTGTGCTTAGACAACAGAGCCTCAGTTCTGTTTAGAATGTCATAAATATTTGTTGGACTTGTGAATCTCACGTTCACATTTGCATGTAAAATTAGAACAGAGGCAGAGTTGGAGGCAGCAGAAAGATCCTCTAATATAACAAACAATTCACTTTATAACACGCTCATAAATGTTTCTTTTCACAGTTTTCAGAAAAGCTCGTCACGTCAGACGCAGAAATATAAATACACAAACATCACAGAAAATCTTTTAAAACGTCTAAAACACTCATCTTTAAATATGACTTATTTTATACATTATTATTTTTGCAAAGGCTTTAAATCAGAAACTAAACCCAGTACAGGAATAAAAACATCACTGAAATTCACTCACACTTTACAACCTCAATATATATAAGAAAATATAAATCTACAGTAACTTGATATTTTATTTTATTTACAGTTTAAGTCTCGTTCAACTCTGAAAGGAAAAAAACTGTGTCCTGTTTTTGTGAAGCTGCGTTTACATGTTTGATGTAAATTAAAATTATAATCACCATAAATGCAAATCTGAGTAAACACAAACTTTGAATATGAATTAGTCTGAATGCATTTTGTAATTAAAGGCCATATAATTAAAGTTTGTGTGTGAGATATTTTCACTCGTGTTTGAGTCTTGTCCCAGGACAGATTCAGACTCTGTACATTTGTAAAATCAGCTCTTGGGTCAAAACAAAAGTCGTCTGTTCTGTTTGTGTCTGATTATAAAGAATTTAAAAGATCCAATCAGCAGGACGTGTGTTTGTCTGAGAAAAGTGTGAAGAGTTTTCACAAACTCATCATGAGGAGTGTTTAAGACGCTCTGACTGCAAGAGAACAGAGAGAAACATGGACCACTGCACGTTTTTAAAAACAGAGCCACAGTTACACTACTCCCTACAACACACATAAGGTCAGTATATTTAACATTTCACAAAAGTTTGTCTTTTTCCTGTTTTTTTTTGTTTTCAATCTTCCTGGTTGAAAATCGTGACATCACACTACAAAAAAACAAAACTAAATCTAGTCAAGTTAAGACTTGAATTTAAAAAAAAGTTTTATCATGATTTTGAGTAAATTTCACTTGTCGAGTAAAATGATCTGCCAATAAAACAAGACTTTTTGTACTGAAAATAAGAAAAACATAAGAAACTAAATCTAATGTTGATGAATGAAGAAAAACACTCTGATTCCACTGGTGGATCATTTTACTTGTCAAGTCGACTCAGATCAAGTCAAATGTTCTTAACTTGAATCATTTTAATTTAACTAGATATTGTTTTTGTTTTTTCCCAGTGAAAACTTGGCAATTCCAACATTCCCTAACAACCCTGTGGAACAAAACTCCTCGAATGTCACAGAAATGTTTAATGTGACAAATACAAACATAAGAAAGCACCTTGATTTTTTATTTTCAGATTTAAAATGTCAAAAATTTGTTTCTTATGTGACATTTGCTAAAGTTTGGATAAAATTCCCAGTGTGACGTCATCAGTGCGGGACTCGCCACAATAAAACTCTCCACTTTTGATAATTTTCAACAGATTTTTCAACTTTTCTTCACAATTTGCTTCTTGATTTGTGTAAAACTATAATTTTTTTGATCCCACATGATTAAGTCAGGATTAGAGACTCGTCAGGTTGATCTTTCGGTGGAGACCTTCAGGCTCTCTGCTCTTGTCTCCCCACCTCCTCCAGCTCAGGTCCTTCTTCGTACTCGTAGTCCATCTGCACCGTGTCATACTCCAGCTCGTCCCCCTCGAACTCCATCATGTCTCCGTCACCGAACATCTCCTGCGTCTCAAACTGCGGCTCCTCCTCGTAGTCCACCAGAGGTCCCCCGTCCTCCTCCTCCAGCATCTCCTCCTCCATCTCTCCATCTCCCTCCGCTTCCATCTCACTCTTGTTGGCGCTGCTGTTCTTCAAGATGCCGTGGATCACAGGTTCCTCTCCAGCTTCTCCAGCTTCTGCCGCTAGAGCTAATTCCGCCTCCTCCTCTGCTGCTTTCCTCCGTCGCTCCATCCTGGCTTCACGGATCTCCAAAAACTCTGCTGCTCCTTCTCCGACCACCAGCACCTCCTCTCTAACCAGAGGAGGACCTTCTACT